AGCTTCAGATGGCTTCCGAGCATAGTGTCCCCCTCAGCATGGAACTCTTTCTGGCTTTTTGAAAAGAGCTTAGGCATCGCTTTAACCTGACCTACATCATACTTCACTGGCCAGAATTCCCCTGCTTTAACCACAGCCTAACACCTTTCCCTTCCTCTACTCTTGCTTTTTTCATAGGTTCTCATTTTCAGTAGCTCTTCAATGTTCCATTCCACACTTCCAAATACCAGAAAAAAGGAAAACCACTCGGTTTGTTGTTTTCTCCCCAAAGCCTCCCTGTTTTTGTGTTCCCAAAAGGGAACGCAGCCACTGATCTAAAGCTAAAGCATGGGAGGTGGAGGCCACCCTCCAGGCAGGCTTTAGTGGGCTTGCAGCACAGTTCCAAGGGACACTGCAGAACCAAAGCAATCATCTTGCAGGTGGACAGACCCCAAAGGCTCCTTGGTGCCCGTAAAAACAAGGTAAACTCATGGGAAGAACTCTGTTGCTCTGAGGGCACATTTACTTGTCAATCAAGAATATTTGCAACCCACTGGCAGAAGCATGTCTGTGGACTGAGCTGCAGGCAGTCAGGGGATGTTAATTACAAGTAATTTCTTAATGTCCTTTCCCAAACCTTCATGAATGACAGCCATTTTGCAAATTAAACCTTGCAGGTGTTTAAAGGAAAGAAAGTAGACAGGTTAATCACTAGATTAACAGGGCAATTGTTACACATTTCTTCTGCACTACTAGATTCTATAATTAAGTCTAAAACTGAGAATCTTTCCCGGGATATATCCAAATTTAATAAAAAAAGACCACCAGTCTAAATAAAAGGAAACTGCAAATAATATGATGATATGTGCTAATTAGCAATGAGTTCTCCCAAAAGAGATCTCTTCTAAGAAGAGATCACTGTGTACCCAGGGATATAGTTTGAAAGTAAAAGAAATGCTTATTGTACAATATTCTCCTCATTGAATATTTGTTATTATTATCATGATTGTTAGAAGATCTTAATGATATCATCTGCAAATGTTTGTTTATATAACCTTTTAATTTTTAATTCTTCTTTATCCTTATCTCTTATCTGCATAGGTTTCTCCCCACTCTGGTTTTCAGGGGAACAGCAACTTTATGATATTGAAGAAGTGTTTCTATTTATTCTTGTCTCAAATTATATAAAAACTATAACAGGGAAACAAACCTTTGGTGTTCTTGGGAATTTATGTTTATTACTAAAGTTCAATGCCACTAATCCATAAAGAATGCTATAACTCTGTGACCTGAACCAGGCAAGAAAACCATCATCCTTTACATTCCTGCACAGCCATCTGTCTTGAGTGCTGATTTCCTGCTTGATTTGTGGACATAGGATAGTTCCCATGCAGAAGGAAAAAAATGAACACAGGATATTTGGAAATGACTACTATGTGTAGTCTTGTTTGTTACTCTCACTCTTAAAGGGATAATGGTTATATGGTGTTACACACTTCAGTAAAGAATTTTTTTAAGTGTCTGTCATTGTGTAAAGTAAAACTGGCACTAGTTGGACTAAACACTTCAGCATCTTCTGCAAAACCGCTAAGGAGTCTCTACAACTTTCTGGCTCCTAGGTAGATCACTAGGCTAGAAATGTTCTCAAGTCCTTCTCTACTTGTGGCCTCAAAAAGAGGCTGGGAAAAGAGTTATCACTTCCCTGACAAGTCTCTAGTGCCTCTAGAAATGACACTGACATCCCATTGTGTGGCTAATGCCCATAGATTACAAAAGGATATTTCTAACCTGCTGTTCAAAAACTTTTGAGGCATAAATTGAGCCTGTTGGGGACAAGGATCCAGAAATCTGTAATTATTCATTCATACTATGCACTTCTTGGAGCCTACACCCTGAAATGTGTGAGCTAGTAGTGAGGGTCATTAAAGGGACACAGCTGTGATTCGCCATCCTGTCCCGGCAAAGGCATTTTGAATAACGCCTATGTACTTGTGGCAATCCAAACAACTCTTCAAATAAAATTTTAAATTTGGTTGGTTTAAACTATAACCTACATGCCATAAAGGGTTAAGTTGACCTCAGCTCATCCAACCTCACTTCCTGGTGCCAAGGTTTGTAAGAGACACAGATATGACATCCTTCCTCTACTCCATCATGTGAACCAAAGACAAAGAAGGTTCAAGAAGCAAGTGAAATGTAGAGTCGGTTTTTAGTGGGTCTTCAATTTGAGAGTTGGGCTATTTTTGTCCTTGTTTTTACATAAAATCAGTCCCCGCTTCTCTACTCAAGCACTTGTGAAAAGGAGAGCAGGGGAACCATGGCCACAGCTGTCCAATTTCCATTCACAAATGCAGGTGTTGCTCAGACACAAAACAGAGGTCAGCTGAGTACTGCTCCTAATTAGCTACCTTTTTTACTAGGATTTTTCTTTGTGAAGTTATGCATGCAATTTGGGTTCAACTTAGAGACCATTTTTAGATCCCAGCATGCTATCCACCAAGAAACGGGCTGTCATTATGAAGCATAATTTAAAGCATAGTTAATTTCACATGGTTTTTTAAATCTACATCATACCTAAGGCAAAATTCTGTTCTGCATACACATTATTTATGCTTTTCCATTCACTTCTCAGTATTTAAAAGTGTAGCATTTAGCCAGATAATCTTTTATGTAGGAGTGAGAAAAATCTTGCCCTTTTTCTAGGACTAAGAAAGTCCACAATTTTAATAATGAGGACTAAAGACTTTGTCAAATGACACAAGAGAAGTAGCTATCTGCTATTGTGTTCAGTGGGGAACACCCTGGGGCTGATTTACAGCAGTTCTTAGAAATGGCAGGATGGAGACTGGTATCTAATACAATCCATTAGGAAACCCAAGCCCTAAATGAAATGACCACAAAATCCTATCAGTTAACAGAAATGCAGCAGCTGTACATGTTTATTGTAATACAATAGGATATTGTTACAGAGATAACACTCTTAAAATTTCGGGGGGGAAAAAAGATCCAGCAAGTGATGCGACCAGTTTATTTCTCTATTTGAAAAATGAGAATGTCTATAGTGTGGCAGAGCTTTGGAATACATAAATAAGCATGAAGACTGCAGAGAAGACAGGTCTTGCGTGGACACTAATGGGCTGCTGGGGTCAGCCGTCAAGCTTCAAGCCACTGTGACTCCCAGGTTTCTCAGGATGTTCAAAGAACTACCCCAATGACCTCTTGCAAGAAGTGAAAGAGAATGCTCCTCCTCTTCCAGCTGCTTTTACCTACTATAAGTATCCCATATGCCAATTCTTATCTTGTCTCCCTGTTACCCGTTTTTCAAAACCGTATGCTATGGAAGTTTAAATTCTGTTTGACCTCAGACTTTATAATGATGTAATATTACATATGATATATAATTATGTAAATTTATATGGTATTATATATATAATTCTAGGCTGTTTTCCAATTGAATCAGGTGACTCTCTTCAAAGGCTTACTAAAGTAAAACCACTTTGCAAAGCATAGCATGTATCACAAGGACTGTGACAAATTCATCTTGCTGGATTTTATTCACTACAGACAGTCTACCAAGATTCAGACCCAAAACCCTTCAGAATCAGAGACAAAACCCCCTGTTTGTCTCTAATCATCTTCTAGGATGGAATGCAAAGTATTTTGTTGTGGTAAGTAGAGCTTTAAAGACAAGAGCGCTGAGTCCATTCTTGTGATTGTTACCTCAGTGTTCAGCAGTCAAAAGTGGAGCCCCAGGGTCTTAGAGATCATTTTAATCCTCGTATTTTACAGTGAACTATGCTCTGCTCTTACCACCCTCCTCTGAAGCCTCACGGGCCCCTCCCAAGGGACTGTGAACTTGACTGGTGACTGTCCCAGAAGAGTTGCAATTCCCTTACTTGCCTTCCTGTTTCAGTGAAGATTATGAACCTAATTCTTAAAGACTGCTACTAAAATTCCACCCTACTGAATCCTAATTCTTTCAGCATTCTATTTTTTTTGGCAGAATGATGTGACCCAAATTTGCAGGAAATAATTTGCTGCAACAGTGCTTCTTGTAATGCAATGAGCCAGAGATTAGCATTTCAGGATTGCAAATATCAGACTTAAAAATAATAACTGTTTGCTTCAAGAAAGGACAGATTTTGATCTTGTGTTATGGAAATGGCAATGCTCAGCAAAGTGTGGACAGTTTTATGAATTGAGGAAGCTTTACAGATCAATGGAAAATAATCAAGAACTAGCAATTTACTTCAGTAATTGGTGGCAAAATGCTGTGTGTGTACGTGTGTGGGAGTGTAAAAACATCATGCATTCCATTTTCCATAAGTGGTGGCTAATATTATTCTAAAAAGACATTTTCAAATCTGAGATGTCTTAAAACAAACAAACAAAAAAAGAACCAAAAAAAGCTATGACTATGGCTGTTCCTGTGTTCACCCACCATGCCTCTCGCAAACACTTGGCTATGTGCGCAATGCCGGTTCTTGAATCCATTCTTTCACCTTCCTCAATATCAAGCAACTTTAATGTAAGGTGGCAAGAGAGACTTGACGTGTTTCTTGATTAGAATTTGTGGATCAGATTTTGGAAAGAGCCAGAGCATTATTCCCCTTGGGAACAAGTATTAAATTGAGTCGACTAAAGCTTCCTGCCATGGGCCTGTGGCTAGTTTCTCAGCTTGTGTAAGAAATCGCTACCACTTATCTTTCAGGATTCTAGTCTAAGCATTCTGCTGCTGGAGCGTCCCTGTCACTTAGGATACCAGCTGCGATCACCATGACCTCATCCGATTCATTCACCCTCTCAGAATTCAAACACCAAGACAAGAAACTGAAGAACAGGTTATTTTATACATTAGAAGGGGATTCCTTATTCCAAAAGGTGAAGTATGACAGAGAAAGAGAACAGAAAAAAACAGAAAGAATAAAAGGTGCGCAGTGTTTTCAGCTAGAGGCTAAGAGGCACATGCGCACGTGGTCTGGTGAGGCCTGCGTGGCTGCCTCCCTCTACTGTGGTCTTACCTTATTTCTCTTGAAGTAGGCTCGTCGGCAGGCCGCAAAGCACTTCTCGCTGCAGAAGCTTTTCACCTCACTTCCCATACTCAGGGAATAGCGCTTGATTCCCACTTTCTGGCACCAGGCACACATTATTTGTACATTTGACACATCATCTTCTATAATAAAAGTATAAGAAAAATGTTCACATCAGAAGCAAACATCCCTTCAAACTTAGACACACCCTGAACCTGAAAGAGCTACTCAAGGTCTGATTTTAATCTCCGCACCTCACCACTTTCAGACCTAGCAGAATAGCCAGCTCTCGGCGGGAAGACTCAGGGCTTTTTTTTTTCTTTTTCTTTTCTTTTCTTTTTTTTTTCCCTTGGTGGCTGCACCATTTTACATTCCCACTAGAACACTAGACATTCTATTAAGGATTTGATTCTATGAAGGAGTTGATTCTATGAGGAATCAACAAGGATTCAAATTTCTCCACATCCTCACCAAAGCTTGCTATTTTAAGGGTTTTTATTTTTTATTTTTTATAATAAATTTTATTTAGTTACTTTTCAAGTACATTTTTTTAATCTATTTCTCCCATCCCACCCCCCTCTTTTTTTTTTTTAAGGTGGCTTTTAAACTTCCAAAAGACATCATTTACTTAAAAACCAGAGCATGACTACAGAGTCATGAAAGTTCCTGGGGCTTCTTGGCAAAGGTGAAAATGCTTATTCTGCCTGGTTCATCCAGGCTCAGTACTTGCTCAGAAGCTTGTCAAAAATGACCCATTTCTTCAAAGGTGCTGCTGAAAGCCTATGAGATCTTCTACCTTGGGTGGGGTGCCACACCCACACCTGTGATGTCCTAATGTGAACCTTGACAGTCAGGAGCCAGGATCAATCTCGGCATGTTCCCTATTCCTGTTATGTGGTATGGGGTGTTATTCCCTCTTGCAATAGAATGATTCCCAAATGATGTGGCTAGTCAAAAAAAAAAAAGATGAGTGGCCAGATTCTGCCAACAGAAAGGCCATGGTCGGGCTCACCCAGGGGTCTCCTAGGATGCAGCCTCCCCACGTGGCATCCCCAGGAAGGTGTAGGCCTGATTTTAATTCTTCTCCATGTGATGTGTGTGGTTCGTGGTCCCTGGATGGAGACATAGCATGGGAGGTGTCAACCTTGAGACCTGCCTAGAGCATTCTCAGCCAAACTGGTGGTCTTCATGTCTTCTGTGGGACCTGTCACCATGTCGTGGGTGCTCAAAATGATGTTAGGTGGTGTGCAAATATTTTCAATATTTAAAATACTGTATTTCTTTTTCTTTGTAAGAAAACAAATTTAAGTAGTACAAGTGCATCATATCACATGCTTAAAACCAATAAAGGCTTTCCAAGTGAGTCACTTAATAAAATGTGATAGTAAATTATAATGCAGGTAGTAAGAAGTTATGACAAATAGATGATGGTGATATTGAGATGACTGAAGTCTGTGAAACACTGGTGGGGGACTAAAAGGAGACTTTTAAGTAGAGGTCTAAGAAATAGTTAGACCTCTTGTGGTCTCCTACAGGGTTTTGCTATATCTTGAGTTTTCTTGATTCTCCCAATTGACAAAGTACATGTGTCCAACTGATTGCCACTATCAACTACAACTCTTTGTCCTTTATGATTTTTTTTTTGTTTTGGTTTGTTTTTTTTTTACTAACCCAGACTTATGCTCCAGACATGAATGGTAATCACAAAATCCCCAACAAGCTCTGGTATAGTGTCTGATTTCTGAATAAAAGCCCCCAAAGACTAATTGCTAAGCAAGGCCTGGTCCATGAGCTGTTGACATATTCATGGTTCATAGAGTCTGTCAGGCACTCATTCCACTTCCAGGGGAAAGATTTGGTTTGAGGCAGTGTGGTCATCGGCCTGAAAAATTAGAAGCAAACTAATTGGAAGAGCAGTGATATGGCTTTTTTCCCCCTGAGCACCATCACTCAGAACTATGTGCAACATGTTATTTACTTTAGTGGAATAAATATTATCGCTGTAATCACCATTTTCTTTACAATTACATATTGTAATTTATTATTAATTATAATACATGAGACCATGTAAAAATGACCTTTGATGTTAATTAAACATTTTTGATAACATACGTTTTTAAAAATGGAGTCAACATGAGTTTAAATATCATACAATTATTGGATTTAATCATTTGTTCTATTTAAAGAAAGCTTTATTTGTATTTTATATGATCTCTAAGTGTCATCTATCTATAGACATTTTACATGATATAAAGAATTGACAAAACTCTGTCATTTACCTTAGAGTACAGAGGAGTTTTTTTTAATTAGCTTAAAAATGGAATGCTCTTACAATAATCATCTGTTATTAGTAAACTAACTAGCACTAATAGTTTCTGTTTTTCCCAATCCATTAGCTGCTTCGAAATCTTAAATTCCTGAAAAAGATGATGATGCAGCGGAACTCTCATAAATGATCCACTGGCAATAAACTTGACTGTGGTGAAATCTGTAAGGAAAAAAATTTTTATGGGGGAAATTATTTGGCCTCAGAGTTCAAGGAGAAGAACCTACTTCCCAAGAAATAACTTTAAGCCATGCATTAAGGTTCCTGTCGTTGTTTCTTCCCGAATAGGCTGGTTTGAGAAAGAATACATAGACTTTTAGTGCCAGGGCTCGCACCGTAATGGGTGAAAACCAAGAGGACAAAGAGCAGAGAGCAAGGCTGTGACTGGGCCAGGCTCCGTCTGCGCTGGGCCTGCGCAGAGGAATGATGCCCGGGGCACGAAGGCCCCTCTGGGTCTCCCTTATGCTTCGCTCCACCACCGCTAGTCAGACCCATGCGTTATTTTTCAGGGGAAGGCAAGGATACTTTATCGCAAACAAGAAACCTTAATTTTAAAGCAGATTATTCTCATAAATCATTTGTATTACAAAGTAACACTATGGGAAGACAAAACAAAAGAAATTGTGCATTTTTGTGTTTGGAAATCAGAAAACTCTTAGAATGGTGGTTAGCATCTGTCTTGCTAAATAATTCAGTATTCCCATCCGTTTTTCATAAAACTGTGTTTCATAAAGGCAAACGCTTGGGGAAACTTCCATCAGATTTCCCTTTTTGTCATCAAACTGTTCCATAGCTAATGCTCCAAAGAAGTCTGTGAAAAGCAGCTTATTCGAAAAGTTTAAGAAAACATTTTTAGATATCTCAGGTATTCTAGTCTTATAAAACACATTTTAATTCATAGTACATTTCAAAAACTAAAAAAGATCTGTGGTTATATCAATTAATTCTGTCAGCTAAAACATAGCTCAAAATTCTGCAACCAGACATGAGGTGGTACCCCATCTTAAGCAGAATGACTGCACCCCTAGAAAAGTAAGATTTTCTTAAGTGATTAAAGCCAAAGAGATTGGTTCATTGCAACAAGCACATTTTCTTTTTACCTGAAACCTGGGAATTAGGTGAATGCTTTATGTTGGCACAAGAGAATAGGCCCCAGTGCTTTACCTTTTCTAACTTGATCTGCTTTAAATTTTTTTACTTAAAAATATTCATTCAAACTAGAGAAAACCTGATTTCCTTATAGTTAGACTCAAGGTCTGTGCCATTAGAGACTTGAGATTACCTCACAGAAGACTCATGTAACAGATTTTTTCCTTACAGCCATTAGCCTATGTATTTTTCATAATGAAAAGTGCAACAATAAATGCAAAATAAGTATAGCATCAAATCACATTCTCAAAGTGAATAGTCGGTACAATATGATAAAATTTCCATGTGATAGTACCATATAAATATGCATCAGTCAAAATGTGCATGTTTCAATTAATTATGAAGTTTGAACCACCTCTTTAAGGATTTAATTAAGCAAAATGTTTAGGGCATTTCATTCCAATCTAATGTTCAAAGAACTATAGAAAATTGTTCTGTTTTACATCCTAGATTAATTACTCGAAGATGAAATCAAAATTGTATTTATTTATCATAGTGCAGAGAAGTATCAAATCAAGCATTTCTGGAATGCCTTGCTGAAGTTGTTTGAGAAATTGCAGTATCTGGTGACTTTTAAAAATAAGAATAGCCATTGGTCAGTGCCATTGTAGGGGTGTTTGAATTGGCCATGAACATGCATACTAGCTGACCTGACTAGAGCCCAAAGACAATCAGGAGGGCCTTAATGGACCCCAGGTGATTAAACTGTAGATTCACCATCTCTTTGTAGCTTTTGTGGGAGTCCCAGACTGAGGAAAAATCTGAAAATATTTGCTAGTGATGTTTCTTTCTTCCAATAGCCCCTAGAATGTGCACATCCAAATAATCATTTCAAGACTTGAATTATATTTGAGGCAAGTTACAAGATAGTCTGAAGTGGCTCCTGTGTATTCTCTACACCATGAAATAAAAATATAGCACAGGCAGTAATCTGCCAATCTATTTGTAGGAGCAGCTCTATTTAAGAACAGAATGAAGACAGGGCCTGGAAGGTGGGCAAGAAACCAGGGTTAAAGTTGGCTTTCTTTCCTGTTTTTCGGAATAATTCAAGTTAATAGTCCAATTTAAAAGTTTCAACAGAGTCCTATAGAAGCTTTTGTACAATTTCCTGTGTTCTAGAAGAGAACATTTAAGAATACCCAGAGAAAATTTGGACCTTTGAGCCAAAAGGGAATAATCATACCTAGCCTTATTTAGTATTTAGTAGGTGTCAGGCACAGTGCAAAATTCTTTAAATCCATCATTTAATCTTAATCACAGCCACCACCCTCAGGCAGATACTAACATTATCCACATCGGGCAGATGGGGAAAGTGAAGTTTAGAAGTTAAGTCATTTGCTCCAAATCATGCAGCCGATACATACGGAAGCCTGGATGAGGCCAGGCTGTCTGCCTCCAGAGCACAAGCTCTTGACCACTACACCTTAAAGATCACAGCTTTTCTCAGCATGGAGGGCGACTCACCATCCACACAGACTCGCCTCTACAAAAAGGACAAAAAGCTGTCATGGGTTCTGCTACCTACACAAGACACTGTTCCATGACAGACTAATAGACAAAGAAAATGGAGTCAGAAAGGTCAAAATGTCTTTGAGAAGACAGCTGAAGTGTTACTCAATATTTGTTGGTGGATTAAAAAAAAAAAAGTTAAAGGCCTGCAGTGTGAAC